CCAACCAATAGAAACACTTTCGTATCATCGTATCATCATATAAACGGATGCATGAGACACAGGCTTTACTTCTGTGAATTTATTATTCGTAGCAAGGTATATTTTACCCAACTACATTAAAAGTCACTGCACCTGTAACAGCTACCTTTAAAATGATGAAACGCTGGCAAACACAAACTTAATACTGACCGATTAGAAAAAAAACATAGTCATAAATGATAAACATATTTATAATAACAGAAATAGGAAAGAACAAAGTACACCATATAAACGATCAACATATATAACAGAAACAGGACAAACAGACGTATAAATGATAAACAAGTAAAAGTAAAAACTTCAAAAGCATGTAAAAGGAACAAATAAACAAAATTATTGATGTCAAAATCTGCCTTTCTATAAAATAATAATACGAAAACTACGAAACAAATTATTGAAATGTTTAAGAATTCCATTAAAGCTTTTTGACGTAGCTGCAATAGGAAAATATGTATTCTATCATATTCTAAACAATTCTAAGTTTTATTGCTTAAAAGATTACTTACATTCTTTACCCCGAATACGTCTCTCCTGCAACTCTTCCTATTATGCTCATAACGTTTCAATGTCCTCCTCATGCTGCATAGCTTGTGAAATAGAAGTTGTTTCGTTGGGGTCATTTTGTTCCTGCTGGTTACTCCAATCGAATGAAGCAATTCGCTTTTCACATGCAGCGGTAAACCTATTAAATACTTTTACTTAATACTTTAGAACAGCGTTTTCTTAAGCTTAAGAAAAAGCTTGAACCTACTCTTACTGTAGTTATTACATTTTAATGATTATTAAGACTTACCGATTTCACTATCTACATTATGCGTAAATGAATAATGATATTTTCATATTTTCAGATTATCTTTTTCCTTATCTGTTTTCATAAATCGTCAATAATCTGCGAAGATGGTAGCTCTTTATTGGTGTCTTGAAGGCTGTTGGAAAATGCACGGCTTCCTATCACAAAAGGCGTATGTTTTAAAGTTGTTCCTAAAAATGCTCCAAAGATTTTTTTATCTGTAAAAGGTATTTATATAAACAATAAACAACAAGTAATATATTTATATGTATTTTTGTGTAATTGTGTCATTTATCCCTATTATCAGCTGCCCCTTGCGGCACAATTAAAAATAACCAAGTGTAGTGGGTTCATAATGTAGGTTTGTTTGAATTCTTTAATTCTCAGCCACCAGGGCGCGCCACTTTAGCGACACACTTTCTACAAGAGGAAGAGTCGTTTCTATATAAGCCTTGTTCTATGGCTATAACCTCAAAATTTCCGGGAGGATAGAACGAAGTTCTGCAGAAAACGTCCGCGAACTACAGAAATGAGTTTAACGAAGCTAATCTTAAGGTACCCTGAGTGACGCAACATACTTATGTACCTAAGAAGGCCATTTGCAGGAAAAACTTACCTAATGCAAGCAAGAAGCTCCTGGACTGTGGCAGCATCGTCAAATCAATCACTTGCCAGAAAAGCACTAACCAGCCTTCTTCAAACAGCAGCAGCAGCAGCTCTGATAGTGATGACGAATTGAAGAAAAAAGCACCTAACTCTGACGCTGTACGAAAGCTCAACTTCTTGTTAGATCAAATGATGTCTAACAATATAGCGAACAAAACCTCTATCGATCTGGCACAGCCCTCGAATAAACGAGAGCAGGGCCGCCAGGAGAAGCAGGAAGCCAGCACTCAATCAGTCGGTACGTGTCAGGCCTGCTCCTCACCTTTTGATCGTCATCTGATTTCCATCCTGCAGAAAATAAAATTATTAATGCCGTACAAGAAGTCGCAGACTCACTTGGCGGAAACGTCAAGCAAACCGAGTCGGAATTGCTGGTGAAACTGCTCAACCCTATTAAAACTCCCGAGGAAACCACAGCCAGTCTCAGGTAAGTTGAGCTGCTTTTTGCCAGCTTTCAATCAGACATACCCTGTTTCAGTGACATCCTCAAGGGGATGAAGGTGGAAAGGGGGGCTGCACCCCAAGTTTCCAAAGCTGAGCAAGTGCGAAGCGCCCTAAAAAGCGTCAGTTCGCAAATGGACTCTCCTCAGAGGTCCATGAGCAGTCGCAGACCCAGGCGCCCCGTTTATCCCATGGGGCCTCAAGGGTAAGTCTACACAAATTTTCAGATTCTCAAAAGTTCTCAGGGGCCCCATTTTAACACTTAAAATTTGAGGTTCCGTTCCACTACATTGCACCACAGATCACAGAGTAACCTCTGTGATCTGTGCATTGCACTTGGCAAGTGAAGCAGTAATGCCAACAAACCGCCTACTCTCACATTGTGGTGTCTCTCTTTATCCCCTATCAACGTGCGCGCGTGTAAGTGAGAGGAAACTGTCCGCAACGAGCACGACACATGTCAATAAGCTGACGTCTTCAGACTCCACCTAGACAGATAAACATAACCCTCAATGTTTTCTGTGTAATTGTTTGATAACAGTAACTGATCGAAAATGGACCCCACCGAAGACATGTGCAAGAGCTTAGTGAAGTGGCTGCAACGACTAGCCCCCAATCGAACAAAGACCGTTTCGGAAATATGCGACGGAGTGGGAATCTTGGAAGCGCTGCTCCAAATCGAACCGAACTACTTCGGGCAATTGCAGCCTAAAATCAAGAAAGACGTGGGAGCCAATTGGCGTCTGAGGGTGAGCAACCTGAAAAAGATTTCGGAAGCTGTTATCGAATACTACCAAGACTTGCTGAGCATGCAAATCGCCGACAAGGGCAAGCCCGACGTGGGCAAGATTGGGGAAAGCAGCGACGCAGTGCAGTTAGGAAAACTCCTCAGATTGGTTCTCGGTACGTCCTGGAGCTGGTAAGCTGGAGTCCCAAACCATCAACTAATTTCCCACTCAATTTCAGGCTGTGCAATCAATTGCGAAAGAAAACAGGAGTACATTACTCTCATTATGGAAATGGAGGAATCGGTGCAGCAAAACATCATGCAAACGATCCAGCAGCTTGAGGAAGTGGCAATGGGGCCAGGCAAAACCGGCCTGAGCATGCTCATCCTAGACAGTGACGCCCGCGTAGCCAAACTCGTGTCCGACCTGGAGGCCGCAAACGAAGCCAAGGAGGCTCTGATCCTGCAAAACCAGCAGATGGAGCAACAGCTTTCCATCATGCAAGAGGAGCGCAAGAACCTGGAACAACAGATCGAGTCGCTGCAACAAAAGGAGATTAAGGGCCCCGACCCCCGACGCCAAATGGAGCTGCTCAAGGAAGAAAAGTTCAAGGCGGAAGTGATGAGGGACGACTTCAACGCTAAACTGCTGGAGCAGGAGAAGCAGTTGCTGGCCTACCAGGAGAGGATTGCAGAGCTGCAGATCGCGGCCAGCGACTCCACACGGCTGAAGGATGAAGTTGACGCTCTAACCGAGTCGGCAAGCAAAGTGGACGACCTGGAGCAGACAGTGGCTTCCTACAAAAGGAAACTGGAAGACTATCAGGACCTGAAGAAGCAGGTGCAGAAACTGGAAGCCAAAAACATCGAGTACCTACAAAAAACCATGGAAATGGAAGAGGAACTGACAAAGAACAGCAGCTGGAGGAACCAGTGCGAAGCCTACAGGAACCAGATTGTGGAGCTGCAGCAAAAGCTGGACGAAGAGGCGCAGCGGGCCGACAAGGCGCAGTTCAGTCAGGAAAACCTGGAGTCCAAAGCAGTTGCCCTACAGGCCGAACGCAACCGCTTGCTCCTGGAAAGAGACTCATTGAGGGAGGAAAACGAGGAGCTCAAGCTGGGCCACGTGAAGGCCAGCGAAGCTGGCGCTGCAGTCGCCCAGGAGCTCACCCCAGCCGACCTGAAAGCTAGATTACGCTTTCTGGAGCGGGAAAACAAAACGCTTCGCCTGGCACAGCAGGAGCTGGACACCAAACAGTTGGCTCTGGACCAAGCGCTCGGCCGCAGCGAGAAACTGCAGCAGCAGAACCGCACCCTCAACCAAACCGTCCTGAGGCTGGAAGCGCAGCTGGAAGAGCTGCGCGGCCCCGACTCCACAGCCAACCCCGCCATCACCGTGAAAAAGCTGCAGGAAGCGCTGGCGGCGAAGGAGCACGAACTGCAAACTGCCCAGGCAAAGTACCAGCGAAATCTGGAAAAAGCGCGCGAGGTGGCAGCGCAACTGGAAAGCGCGGAAAGTGACCGGGTTAGGGGCGGCACCATGGGGGCAACGGAGGAGCGCATGCTGACGGCTGCATTTTACAAGTTATTGGGCGGGCTGCATCGTGAGGCCGCCGACGAGCGTCTGGCAGTGTTTGGGGCTCAGGGGCAGTCGTTTCTAGCCAGGCAGCGACAGCCCACCCCTAGGAAGCTGCCCGCTCGTCCCAACTTGTATCCGAACCGATCCAAATAGGACCACCTAGTTTTACATGAATTTTTAGCCAGGTTTTACTATACATGTATGTGTTGGGCTTTTGCAATACATTTATTTATACACACTATTGATGAGCGATTTTTTCGTATTATGCCCCCTTGACTGGGGGATTGAAGCGTTTCGAAAATAGAGCGCGTTCCCGAACCTATCAAATTATGTTTGTTCAGGAACGTGGAACCAGTGGCTCTGTTCGAAGGGGACAGTCTGGGCATTTTCACCAACCCATCGGAGCTGCAGCCCAGCTCGCAATTGTCAACGTGGCAACAACTCCACAATAGAGAGCTGCAATTGGCCGTTACCCATCCCCCCTCCAACTATTTCCAGGAAATGATCCTGTGGACCAATCAGGGCAAGTTCTGGCAATTTCCCATCAACAACGAATTCGGTAACGTCAACACAGTTGGCAAATTCCCCAATTTAATGGGCGTGAGTGTGTTTCAGGGCTGGACGAGGAAAGCAAAGTGTACTTTTCCGAGCACATTTTCCTGGAAAAATACCTGGAACCTTGGTGTCCGGCACGCGGCCCTTTGCGGCACTTTATGGAGCTGGTCTGCGTGGGACTGTCCAAAAACAGCTACTTGACCGTGGAGGCCAAGCGCGAGCACATCGAGTGGTACAAGAATTACTTTGAGGAGAAAAGGCAACTGTTGCAGGAAGTGGGCGCCTTTCCAGCACCTCCAAAAGATCAGCCCGCCATCGACCAGCAGTGAATGTGACTTTTAGCGCGTTTAGTTTTAGTTAATAAAGTTCTCTTAAAGAATTTTATTAGTTCCGTTTCCTCCAACTCCCTTTTTAACATATTCTATTGTGAAAATAATTACGGATTGCCATCAACCAGAAGAACTGTGGTTCTTTAGTTTCGACTGATTTTTTTTCCTGCTTTACTTTCTACTCAAAAACGCTCTATTTTGAAGAGTTTTAGTGTTTTCTCAAAAATCGATTACAAAACTAAAAGTTTTTAACCAAAACCGCCAAAAAATCATTATTTTCTGATGCCCTAAAAACCCTTTTCAGCTTCGAATTTGGCACAAAAACCAGATATTTTATCGACTTTTTTACCGAGTTTTCCCAAAAGATTCGCAGAGAAAGCAAAATCATATAATCAACTACATATTTGGAAAACTTGCCACCCTCATCGCCCAGAAGAATTTTTAAGTTTCTTCAAAATTTCCGGTTTTTCCCGTTTGAGACCAAACATTTTCAAGCAATCGTTTCGCCCGAAAAGGTATCTAGTCAATTTTTAGGAGTTGGCGCAGTGCTGCGCAAAGGGCTTGGTGCGCCAACCCAACGCACCGGCGCTCAGTTCCGCGGCTGGGAAAACGTTACTCATAAAAAATGTTGATAACTTTTTTTTGGATGTTAAAATTCCAGTATCGGTCATCGACAAACGAGTCATAACTCATTAAGCGATGAGTTAAAACTCATTAACTCAAAGAGCGGCAATAATGGGATGCAGGGGCGGATCCAGCTTTAAAGTCAGGGGGGGGGGTTATGTAGAAAAAATACAGTCTTCTGTTATCTATGAAATTAGAAAAATGATCGGCGTTTTGTGCAAGGGTGGCGCAAGATTATTGCAAAATTTCATGTTTTCCGTCCGTTTTGCATGTTTCTCGGAAGCAAAATGAGCAAGAACGCTCGTTTTTACATCATTCCA